ATCATATTTGGATAGTAAATGTAAATATGCAAGCATTTAATGCATATAGTAAAAAATTTACAAATAAAGTATGCATTAAATGTGTGTTGACTTTTTTTGCTACTGTTTTTAGTAAATAGGTTGGCTTTTAATATATATATAGATATGTACAAATTATTCAAAACGACATTTATTTTGTTAATAGTTGATAATGCCAAAATGACATTTAAAAAGAATAAGAGGTAGTAATAATTTGTAGTGATTGAGATTTCTGACGATAGCAAAACCATGGACGTTGTATATGAAAAAATATTTAATAATATTTAGATTTTTATTTCTTAAAACATTTTTGTTAATAATTATATTATGATTTTTAATATTGTTTGTATTTTTTATTATTTTATACTTTATCATAATGCTTTCTGTGCAAATGCACAGGTTACAACTAGTTCAGATAATTCCCCCCTCTAATAAATTATCAACAAGTGGCAACATAGACAAAAAGAACATTTGTCACAAATAACCCATATACGAATACATTTTAGGGAAATGTTACGATCATGTTATAGAACTATTCCGTCGATGTTTGTTAGATTAATTATTCTGGACGGTTCGCGACGATTTCATGATTAACTAATAAGAACTGAGAGTTACAAACCCAAAAGAATTGTTTCTCAAGACAACATGAATCTCACATCCACCAATAATATTCTTGATATTATTAAAAACTTTATGACTAACCAACAGAATTCTTATTAATTTTCTTTTACTTTTACACCAATTATTAAATAAAAGTAAAAAATCGAGGATTAAAAATCAACAGTGTGGCCCACCGCCGTCAACTCCCTATACCTGACCACAAGTCGGCCGGCGGCGTGGCCTGCCACCGCCGCCGCAAAAACCCCAACATTAAAGGACATGACAGAAAGCATGACCAGGTAAGCCAAACACATACGCAACCCATGTACGGCGCCGCTCACCGCCGCCGCCGCCTTGCCCCTTTGCTTGGAAACCGCTGCCGCCGGTAGCATCTCGACGGTCGCCGCCAGCAATAAGACGGCCATTAGGGCCAGAACGTACATCCCGAGGCAGCCGGGCCAGCCGTCGAACAAGATGGTGACGTGTTTGCCCCAAAAGAAGCTCGTGTGCATATTCATGGTTTTGGTCATGTTCATGGGCATGTTGGTTGTTTGGTTTGGGTTGTGATTTGGTGACATTGGCATGCCATCCATTTAATCTCTCTCTCTAAAAATGTTTGTGTGTGTGTGTGTGTGTGTGTGTGTGTGTGTGAAGGAAAATAGAACTTATTTGCTAGATGTGTTTATATTTTGGTTGGATATTTAATGTGGGGGGAATGAGAATCTAGGACAAATATCCTAGTTGCATATATATGTGGTTGAGATTTGATAATTGAGAATGACAAAAGAAGCTTGACTTTGGCTATCAATATATTTTTAGACTCGTTGAACCAGATGTTAGACGGGTCGACTCGTCACATTTTACTAAATCAAGTGTAGTTTAGGAGTGGGTGAGTGTAAAACGATTAGGACGGATCGATGCGTCGCACTTTAGTGAATTTATTTAGTGTGTAACAGAACGAAAACAAATCACGACCTTTTACTTCATTGTAGTTTAAAGTACAAAACTTTTTAGGTTTTTTTTTTTATTTTATTTTATTTTTTTATTTTTTAAGCATCCAAATAAATTAAGAAGAATAAATCTACAAATTGTGGAGTGATTTATGGATCAATGCATTGGGCTTAGTCTTGGGATTAGATTTTAGATTTATTCTTCTTAATTTCTCTATTATTTTTTTCTTGGGATTAGATTTTAGATATTTATATTGTGAATAATTTTTTCAAGTGGTTATTATGGTGAATGTTTAAAGTAATGGTGCTTCTTATAGAGAGAGTAGTATGGTATATCTTTATATGCTTATCAAGATGAGGAATATGATAATCTCTTTTCCTTTTTTACTTAAAGATGTTACAAATGAGAACATAAATAAAATAAAAAATGCATCAAATGTGGAATATATTCTTGATTTTAATCTTTGGATGTGGATTGGAGATTCTAAAGCATTGTACATTTCAAGATAGAAACATGATAAAAGTCGATCTTATCGATGATTTCATATAGTATGAATACAAATAATTACAGACTCATATGATTATGTGTTGATCCAACATTAAAAAAATAGGTATGATCATTGTACGAACGTTTCGAAAGACATTTTTTTTTTTTCCCTTATCATTTAGTCGATTGTCGAACTTTGTGAATATGTATATTACACATATTTATTGTAAAATATCATACTTTTTAAATTAAATAACAGTTATTCCAAATTGTTCTTCAAAGTTAAGATCTTTTTTTTTTTTTTTTTTT